CCCGCGCCTCCATGCCAGGGTCCCTGCTGGTCTCCACCTTCGTCGGGCTCGTCCTCAACAAGACCAAGGTACGAGATGCCCGCAGCCCCCGTGCCCCGGCTTGGGGGCAGAGAAGGGGGCACCCCTTGCCCGCCCTGGGGAGCGTGGAGTGCCCTGTGCCATCCCCCGTGCCCGAGGATGGGGTGGCAGGGGGTGAATGCCCTCCCCGCTGCCCGTGGGGACGGCGTGTCCCCGTGTCCCACAGGGTGGCACGGAGCAGGTGGACTGCACGTGTCAGGACACCTGGGTTCCTCTCCCAGCCCTGCCCTTGCGGTGACCTTGGCCAGGTCCCCGTGTCCCACCACAAGGAAGGGTCTGCTGGCCACGCTGAGCCCCTTGGCAGTGCCATGGGAGTGAACTTGGCTGTCCCCAGGGCCACAGCGCAGGGACAGATCTCTCCTGCAGGGATGGCAGAGCAAGGGGCAAGGAGGGCAAGGTCTGAGCACTTATGTAAGTCTGGCTGCTCTGGTTCTCCTGCTGCCCCAACAGGCTCCTGGCATGTGGACCTGGATGGGGCAGGACGGTGAGGATCTTGTCCCTTGTCCCCACCGCCTGTCCCTTGTCCCCGTCCTGCGGTGCAGCCTCGGGGAGTCCCCAGCCGAGCCGCGTGAGCCAGCTCTCCTTCAGCGCCTCTGAGCATGTCGTGTCCTAGATAAAGCCCTGTACGGGAGAGGGGGATTAGCTGGAGTTGAGTCACCCAGGGGAGGGAAATCCAGAGGGGGAAATAACACCTCGGTGCACACAGGGCTTGTGCCAGGCTAGGGGAGCACCTGACACCCCCTGCTCAGCCCCAGCCCTCCCCCGGGGTTGTCCCAGGCTCTGGGAGGACAGCCTGCGACCTGGCTGTGGGGGAATGCAGGATCTGTGGGGAGGTTTGCACCCACATGGGCAGGACTGGCCGGTCCCTCCTGGCACAGAGCAGGAGCTGCCCAACCAGGGCAACTGGACAAGCCCGTCCTGGTGGGGATGGCTGGGGCACACTGGGGCAGCTCCTGGGGGTTGCTGCTCACCCCTGGCACCGTGACCTTCTCTGGGGTAGTGGTGGGGATGCAAGCAGGGCCTTGGGGCTCACATCCTCCGAGGGATGGATATAGGGACACTGGCCCACCTCTCCTGCTGCCATCTGCTCAGGGACCAGAGCCAGGCCAGCTCCTCCAGCCGTGGCGTGGCACTGACCTGTCACATCCTGCTGGCACCCTGTGCCCAGCTGAGCCTGCCCCCAGCCCAATAAGGCGCCTGGCACTTTTGGACAGCCCCATGTCATTTGGGCAGCCACATCTGGGGACATCCCTACGCTCTGGGCACTGTGGGCACAGGATGGCATAGAGGGCAGCCGGTCAGAGCCACGTGTGCCCATGCAGGGTGGCCGGGTCCCCGCTGGTGCCGGTCCCTGCCGCGGTGGGTGATGCCTGCGCCGTCGCTAAGGAGCACATGTAACTGGAGCTGGGTTATTTTGGGCTGCTGTCAGGGCTGGGTGCTCAGCACCTCCCACACACACACCAGCTGCTGCTATTTCGGAGCTGCTGGGCCCCCTCCCCTCCTCTCGCCTCCTCTCCTCCTCCTCAAGCCTCAGGTGGGCAGCTGGGGCGTTTGCCTAAGGATCCTTAAATCCTGGGCATCTGGGGAGCACCGTCAGCAGCCTGGCCCTGTCAGACCCCACCCTGCTCTGGGGAGGCTCATCCTGCTGCTCCCCAATGCAGGGCTGGGAGCAGGACCCCTGGGCTCCCACCAGTGCCCCCCACCAGCATCCTGACACCCCCAAAGCCCTCTGTGTTCTTGGTTTCTCCAGCAAAGAGTGATGATGGTTCCCAGCCCCAGCATCCAGCTGCCCATGCCCATCTTTGCTTTTCCCGGCTCAGGGAGCACCTGGAGCACCTGGAATTGTCACCCCATGGCACAGGTGCAGCACAGCCAGGGCTGGGAAGGCACCACTGGGCACACAGCCCTGTTCCCTGGGCTGGGCTTGCACTTTCCCAGGTGGACTTTATCCTGCAAGACGGCTGTGCCAAGGTCTGGGCTGCGCTCGTGCAGGGTGTCCTGGAGGGGATGGACACCTGGCACGAGGCAGGCACGCAGTGACAGGGCACTGTGCTCCTCCTGCAGCGTGGGGCAGGCACAGGGCACTGCCATGCCCCGGTGTCCCCAGGGGAGGCAACCTGGGTGCCAGCCTGACCTGCAATCCAGGGCACGGGGCAAAGGCATTGCCAGGCAGGGAGAACTTTGAGCCCTGAGCATAGTCCTGGGCCAGCAGGATGGGGCAGGCCAGCCGTGGTTTGTCACCAGGCTCTTGGCCCAGAGAGCTGCTCAGTGCTGGCTCTGCCCATGATGTCACAGCGGGATGGGGCCTCTCCTTGCACCTGAGGGTCTGCTCCACAGGCAGCTCTGTGGCACCATGGCCTCGCTGGGCTGCCCACAGGCATGGCCAGCCCGCCACCCTCCCAGCACTGTTCCCTCTCTCTGCAGAGCTCCAAGGCCGTGCAGGGGCTGACCGGCCTGCGGAACCTCGGCAACACGGTGAGTGTGTCCCCAGGCCTGTGGCTCACACCTGTGGGGCAGGGGGAGCCCTGTGCCTTCACCTCACCCTGGCAGCTCCCTGCACCCCTCTCCCCACGGCGCTTCCCCTGTCCTGTGCCCAGCCCAGGTGTCCCCCTGCCATGGCCTGCCTCCCTCTGCTTCCCGTTGCCATGGTTTTCTCTTGTGCCTCCCCCAGTGCTTCATGAACTCCATCCTGCAGTGCCTGAGCAACACCAAGGAGCTGCGGGATTACTGCCTGCAGAACCAGTACCTGCGGGACCTCAACAACAACAGCCGCATGCGCACGGCGCTCATGTCAGGTAACTGCCCAGCCCCGGGGACTGCGGGGGCTTCCCTGCAGCAATCCCTGCAGCAATTCCTGCAGCACATCCCTGCCACACCCCACGTCCTGCGGGACCCCCACCCAGAGCTCCACGCTCCTCCTTGGGCTGCCCCAAGTGGAGGATCAGGCTGTGAGACCCCTGAGCTGTCTCCATGGGGACATGGCCGTGCCACCTCCTCTGCTGAGCCGCCTCTCTGCCTGCAGAGTTTGCAAAGCTGATTCAGCTGCTCTGGACCTCGTCCCCCAACGAGAGCGTGAGCCCCTCCGAGTTCAAGACGCAGATCCAGAGATACGCCCCACGCTTCGTCGGCTACAAGTAAGGGGGGGTGGCTGCAGGGGGGTGGGGGGAGCTGAGCCCCCTGCAGCCTCTCACTGGCCATGCCCCGTGTCTTGCAGCCAGCAGGATGCACAGGAGTTCCTGCGGTTCCTGCTGGACGGGCTGCACAGCGAGGTGAACCGCGTGCTGGTGCGGCCCCGGGCCAGCACCGACACCCTGGATCACCTCCCGTAAGTGCTGGCACCGCACAAACCCCAGAGGAGTTCGCTGCCTGCAAGGCCAGCCCGGGCACAGTGACCTCATGGGTCCCTCTGGGCTGGCTGGCGGGGCTGGTGTCCCCCAGGCCATGCTCAGTGCCTGCTGTGTCCCCATGCTTGCAGTGACGACGAGAAGAGCCGGCAGATGTGGAGGAGGTACCAGGAGAGGGAGGACAGCCGCATCAGCGGTGAGCAGGGCTGGGGCAGGGAGGGCAGGGCTGGCCTGGCAGCGAGGGGGGAACCAGGGCTCTCACCCTGCTCTGTCCCACCCCTCCAGACCTCTTCGTTGGGCAGCTGAAGAGCTCTCTGACCTGCAGCGAGTGCGGCTACTGCTCCACAGCCTTCGACCCCTTCTGGGACCTGTCCCTGCCCATCCCCAAGGTGAGGGAGCCCCAGTGATCCCTGTCCCACACTGCCTGTCCCACACTGCCCGTCCCTAACCACCACTGCACTCCCACAGAAAGGCTACGGGGAGGTGACGCTCATGGATTGCCTCCGGCTCTTCACCAAAGAGGACGTGCTGGATGGGGACGAGAAACCGGTACAGGGCAGGGGGGCTCCCATGGCAGGCTGGGCCCCTTCCCCTCTGTGCTTGTGTTGGCAGCACTGTGGGCAGTGCCCTCACCCTGCTGCTTTGTGCTGTTCTCTCCCACAGACGTGTTGTCGCTGCAAAGCCAGGACAAGGTGCACAAAAAAATTCAGCATCCAGAAGTTCCCCAAGATCCTGGTGCTTCGTATCCTTCGGGCAGAGGGATGGGGACAGGGGCTGTTGTGGGGGGCAGAGATGGGTTATTGCAGGCTCCCCTTTGTCCCTGTGGCTCCTTGACGTGACCCTCCAGACCTGAAGCGCTTCTCCGAGTCCAGGATACGAAGCAGCAAACTCACCACCTTCGTCAACTTCCCGCTGAAGGACCTGGACCTGCGGGAATTCGCCTCGCAGAGCTGCAGTGAGTGCCCTGCTTGCCTCTAATCCCAGCCCTGAGCTCCTGGGGACTCCTGGTGCCCCTCGTGTCCCCAGCTGGTGGGGACACAGGTGTGAGGGGTGGGAGGCACAGAATCCAGGCTGCTGGTGCTGCTGGCATGGTGGAGGGCACAGGGATGAGGGGTGGGGGGCACAGAATCCAGGCTGCTGGAGCTGCTGGTGTGGTGGGGGGCAGAGGTGTGAGGGATGGGAGGCACAGAATCCAGGCTGCTGGCATGGTGGGGGGCACAGGGATGAGGGGTGGGGGGCACAGAATCCAGGCTGCTGGAGCTGCTGGCGTGGTGGGGGCTCTGTGCTGGCACTTTAAGGGGCAGCAGGGCTGAGCAGCCCCCCTGCTCCCCACAGACCACGCCGTTTACAACCTCTACGCCGTCTCCAACCACTCGGGCACCACCATGGGGGGACACTACACAGCCTACTGCAAGAGCCCCGTGTCCAGCGAGTGGCACACCTTCAACGACTCCCGGTGAGCCTCGGGTGGCACAAGCGGGCAGGGACCCCCCCCCTGCTCGGGGCATCCCATCCCTGCTGCTCACAGCTGTCCCTTTGCCCTCTCTGCAGCGTCACCCCAATGTCCTCGNTGGATCCTGCTGCTTCCCCTGCGTGCTCCCAGGGCTGGCACTGCCAGGCACGGTGTGTTCTGCCATGCCTTGGCCTCAGCTCTGCTGCACCCGCACACCCTGAGAGCTCCCTCCTCTTTCTGCCACTCCATCTGTCTCTGCCTTGCTGGATTTCCCTCCCTCAGCCTTTACCTTGTTTCCTTTCCTTCTGCTGCCTGTTCTCCCTGTTTTCCTCCCCTCCACCCTGATGCCCAGCCGTGCCCAGCCTGTGCCTCCTGTCCCTCAGCCGAGCTGTTTGTAGCGCTCTCCCTTCCCCCTGCTTACAACACTTCCGACACCATGGGATTATTTTTCTTTTTCCCCTTGTCTTGTAGCTTTTGGCTCCCAAGGCCCTTGATTTCCTTTGGAGTTTGGGAGGAGAGACGTGGGGAGGAGGAGGAGGGGGGGAGAGGCTGCCTCTCTTAGGGCCTTCGTCAGAGCCAAGTGGCCAGGCAGAGCCTCAGCCCTTGCAGAGCAGCGGTGAGCAGCGAGGTGAGCCCCGGGACAGGAGCCGAGGGACCGCAGTGAGTGGGGACACCCAGCCGGGGCCAGCTGCGACTCCCTGCCTTCCTGCTCCGGCGCCTGGGCGGAGGGGAGACGCTTCTCTCCTCCTTTTCTCCTCCTTTTCCTCTTTGTTGCCGTCGTGGAGGGGGAAGAGAGCCGCTTTTCTGGGTCACGGCCGCGGGGATGGGGCCAGCGCTGGCCCCGGGGCTCAGCCCTCGCTGGGGAAGGGCTGGGGGCAGCGCGGGCAGGGGGGTGGTCCCGGCACGGCCGGGGGTGGTCCCGGGGATGCTGCAGCCGGCCGGGGGTGGAGCGGAGCGGCCGGGATGCTGCCAAGGGCAGGGCCGGGCACAGCCCCGCGCTCCCCGAGCTGCCGCCGCAGAGGCAACAACCCCACCCCAGGCTCACCAGCCCTAAATCCCCTGCCCGTTCCCCCGTAGCTGGGCATCATGGGGCAGCGCCCACCCCAAAGAGCCCCCAGCCACACACAAACAGAGCCACAGCCCCGGCCCTAAAGAAACACCCCAGTCACGTCCTGAGCTGCCCCGGGGCTGCAGGAGGCTGCGGTGGCACATGGGGATGCTGTGGTGGCACACGGGGATGCTGTGGTGGCACACAGGCTGTGGGGATGCTGTGGTGGCACACGTGCGGGTGCTGTGGTGGCACACGGGGATGCTGTGGTGGCACATGGTGATGCTGTGGTGGCACATGTGGGGAGGCTGTGGTGGCACATGGTGATGCTGTGGTGGCACATGTGGGGAGGCTGTGGTGGCACACAGGGATGTTGTGGTGGCACACAGGGATGCTGTGGTGGCACTCAGGCTGTGAGGATGCTGCGGTAGCACACAGGGATGCTGCGGTGGCACACGGGGATGCTGTGGTGGCACATGGTGATGCTGTGGTGGCACATGTGGGGAGGCTGTGGGGATGCTGTGGCAGGTGCAGGCAGCACCAGGACCTCGCTGAGGGGAACAGCCCAAAAAATAAAGGGGGAAAAAAGGGGGGAGTGTCCCCTGATGACCCCCCACACTCCCTGCCAAGCACTCCCAACCCTCCTCACTGTGGTCCCCAGTGCTGTGATCCTTCTCTGCCCCCTCCAGGACAAGATGAAGNCCCTCGGCCTCCTCGGCATCCTCTGGCCCATCAACTGCAACATCCTGCCCGACTCCAGCGACCCCGTGGAGTGCTTCCAGCCCTGAGCCGGCCAGGGCAGAGCAGCAGGGGCTGAAGTCACCCTCCCCACCCCAAATGTCCCTCCTGAGCTCTTCCTGAGTAAATACCCAGCTGCTGGGTGGCCCCTCAGCTGCCCTGGGGTCAGCCCCTGTGCCCAGTGCTTGGTTTGGTGCCTGGATGCCACGGGCTTGCCCACAGCTCCATTTCCCTAGGGAGCAGGTGACATACCCCACAGGGAAAGGCTTGTGCTGGAGGGGCAGGAGGGAAAGGGTTAATGCTCCCCAAACGGAGCAAGGCTGGGCAGAGGTGAGCCAGGCTGCAGGGACAGGAGCCCAGGGCTGCCCGTGTCCCACAGCCCCAGAGCCAGCAGAATAAACAGCGTGAGCAGGTGACAAAGCCAAGGGAGCAGGTGACTCATTTGGGGTCTGTGTGTGGGAAACTCAGGAATGGGTGGAGGGAGGGAAGCCAGGGATGGGGCAGGGATGGAGGGGCACAGGGGAGAGTGGGCTGTGCCCTCACTCGGCTGGGGGCTTGCAGGATCCCAGGGAGATGGATGGGTCTCAGAGGGGTCCAGTTGGTGGCCGCATGGTGCAGGGAAGGGATCCTGTGCCACCAAGAGTGGTGGCCCTGCTGGCTCTGCTGGCTGAGCTGGCTGTGCTGGCTGAAGGCCACCCTGGTGGCCACAAGCCTGGCAACACCCATGGCCACAAACCAGCGTCCAGCTGGCCAAAAACAACACTCCCTTCACACCTTAGGGGAGAGGTGGTTCCCTGCCACCACCCAGCCTGCCTGTGGGTATCCAGGTCTGGAAGGAACATTTGGCAGCGTCCCCAGCTCCACTGCAGGCTCTGGCACGGGGAGGACAGGGCCAGCAATGCCATCGTGTTTCCCACTGCCCTGAGCATGTGGAGAAATCCCCAGCCTGGCTGGGGTCACTGGGCTCAGGACCCACTTGTGCCAGCTCTGCCCCTGTGCCCAGCCTGGACCTGCCATCCCCACCCATCTCCCTCTGTCCCTGNGAAGAGGAGACACCCCCGAGGTGGCCGCAGAGGGAGGCTGGGGACAGCCAGGAGCAGAGCCCGGGCAAGGACATCCCAGCTCCGAACTGAGGAGGGACTCGTGGCAGGGCAGGGCTCAGGCAGCTCCAGCTCAGGCACCTTCTGATTGCTGATTTGTTTTTTACCTCGGGGTTTTACTTTCTTTTCTTTTTTTTTTCTTTTTTTTTCCCTCTTTTTTTCTTTTTTATCTTTTTTGTTTCTTTATTTTTTTTCTTTTTTTTCTTTTTTTTCTTTTTTTTGTTGGTGTGTAATAAAAATCCTGAGCAAGGGACTCTACAGGAATAATGGGGCCACCTGTCCCATTGACTCAACCAGGACCTCTTCTCCCCTGGGAGAAGCACCCAGGAGAGCCTCACACATCCCTCCTGACCTCTTGCCACTCCTGTATCTGCTTGGCCGTCCCAGAGGATTCGTGACCTTCTCCCGATCTCCTCCCGACACTTCCAAACCTCCTGGCAAAGGACTCCAGCAGCCCTCTGGTGGCCTCCGTCCCATCTCGGGCAGCACAACCCTGCAGCTGCCCCACTCACACTCCTCAAAGCAGCCAGACCCACGGACAGGAGGGAGGAAAACATTTTGTGGAATTTCTATGTATTTATAATGGACTTTGCTTCAACCTGGAGCCCCCCGCTGCTTCCTGCCTCTCCAGGGACCTGTGCCGGGGCTGCTCCGGGTGGGTTTTTACCTGCCTGCTCAAACGACGGTGCCTTAAACCATTTAGGGGAGCGGGGGGGCCGCGGGGGTCGCACGGAGAGAGGGGAGGACGGTGGCTTTGCGGGACCATCTGCGATCGGGGCTTTGTTCTCCCTGTGATCAGGAGCCCTCCTGGGTGCCCGGGCACCCGCCCTGCTGCTCTGCCCTCCAGCTAGCAAATGCCAGTGGCCTTTTTAGCCTTTAATTTATTCTCCTCCCCGTCCTGCCTTGCCTGAGGCGCAGCGGGAGGAGACACGGGCACCATCCCAGCCCTCGGGGCAGCTCCATCCAAGCCACCCCCGGCCCTGCGGGCACGGGCTGAGCGCTGGCACCAGCACCCTGCCCAGCCTGGGGCATCCCAGCGGGGCTCAGGGGGGGCAGGATGGGAACGGGGGCTGCCCAGGGCAGGAGCTGGGCTGCTGCGTGGCAGGTGGCTTGTTTACTGTGTAAGCAAGGCGGGTGGGAAGCGTCTCATACAAGGGAGACTCGTGCAGGAATAAATTTGAGCTTGAACAGGGCGTTGGGTGCGTGTGGTTTGTGTCTGGGTGGGCTGGCAGAGGGTGGGGAGCTGCCACCGGCGGAGCCCCATGGACCAGAACACTCTGGGCTCTCCTGCAGCAAGGGAGATGTGGCTGCAGGTGGCAGAAGGAGCCTTTTCAACCCCACCTTTTCAACCTTTTCAAGCTTCCCTAAAAACCCCTGAACAATGGCCCCTTTCTGCCCTGCTTAGGGATGGAGACGGGCATTAAGGGGCAGCAGGAATGCAGGTGGCAGTGCCCAGGCACCCAGCGAGGGCAGGGGGGACACGCTCAGCCCAGGGTCCCCAACACGACCCCTTCAGCGCTGCCTTGAGCAGAGAGGAGCTGCTGGAAAGCCAAGGTGCCATGTGGGGACCCCAGCGGCAGGGTCCCCTTGGGGATGGGCTCCCAGCAGGATGGGTGCGAGCACTCGTTCCCCTTTAAGACGCTGTTCCTCCGTGCCAGAGCCTGACCTCGGCATCCTCAGCTGAGCTGGATTAACGGGGCGAGGGGGAAGGGGCCTGCGGAGGGG